AGGGTAAAGAGGTATGTTTTCAGGAGTGCCTTAAAAACAGATAAGGAACTGGCCTGTCTTATCTCTAAAGGAAGTTCGTTCCACAGTTTCGGAGCTGCAACAGCAAAAGCGCGATCTCCTCTAAGTTTACGCTCAGTCCTGGGTACAATCAGGAGCAGCTGATCAGCAGACCTGAGAGAGCGGGAGGGAGTGTAAAGCCTGGTTTATGCTTCTCCGTCAGCTCCGCAAGGGACAGACACGCGCGGATTGACGGAAGCGTTTTACTCTCATACTTCTCCGTCTCCTGGGGAGTGTTGCAAAGCAATTGCCCGGCAGGACCACAGAGGGCGTAGCGCTGTTCTGTGGCATCCTGTCATGTATCGGTCCAAGATAGTGTGTTTATATTGTGTTTTTTGTGTATATAAGACACTTTAACATGGACATATTTGTCTCTCATTCTCCCACCGCTTCATGCGCTCACCACCTCTAAACCCACGTTTCCTGTCATTTCCGTCCACAAATAAAACGCTTGCTGCGCATCTTTTCACTCCTCCAGTCACGGGAGGATGAAACGTTCATATTTTTGGAGTTTTTTCGCAAGATATTCTTCAAGCTTCTCCGTGTCTGCCGCTAGTTATCCTCGGCTCTCTTTGCAATGGCGGCGCTGTAAACAACAGCGGCGTCCTGACCAATCACAAGCTTGCGTAATCCGTCTCGTTCGACGGATGTTTAAAAAAGTGGGCTCGACTCCGTACGTACTTGCGTGCCCTACGCAAGGACGGATAATGGCGTTGCGTGTCTCCGCACTGACGCAGACGGAGAAGCATAAATCAGGCTTAAGGCTTTATCAGATCCGAGAGATAAGAGGGGGCGAGGCCATGAAGACCTTTAAAAGCAAATAAAAGAATTTTAAACTGAATCCTAAAAGAAATGGGCAGCCAGTGAAGCGAAGCTAAAACTGGGGAAATGTGCTCAAACTTTCGAGTGCCAGTTAAAAGACGAGCTGCGGCATTTTGCACTCTCTGTAGCTGACTAATACAAGATGCACTGACCCCAATGTAGAGTGCGTTACAGTAATCCAGCCGAGTGGTTACAAAGGCGTGGATCACTGTCTCAAAGTGCTGCCGTGAAAGAATTGGCTTTATTTTTGCCAGCTGCCTGAGGTGAAAGAAGCCAGATTTTACCACCGCCTTAATCTGATGTTCAAACTTCAGATCACAGTCCACTTTCGTCTGCATGCGTCGGGGTAATTCTTTCTATTCTTTCTCCGTCAGAATAAACCGTCAAATACGGGAACTATCCGGTCAACACAACACAAGCCCTGCTTTAGACTGTTTTGTTTTCTTGTGAAAATTGTTGGAAAGAGATAACATTTAACTTGATTACCACCAGAGCCAGTGCGCCGTTATCTCTGTGACGGTAAATGAGGGAAAAACAAATTGATCGGATCCTGCACGTCTTTTAACACATTGGTCAGGATTGACGCACTTTGTTTTCATTTAGTTGGTTAAAAAAAATCGAGCTCTGGTCGGGCCAGAGAATCCTGAAAACCTTTTCGGGCCGGGTCGGGCTGGGGCTCCACCCCCTCGGGCCGGGCCGGACACGGGCTCAGATTTTAGGCCCGTGCAGGGCTCTACTCTGGAACTCTCTCCCACCGAGCCTGAGATCAGTGGACTCAGTGGACTCCTTTAAAAAGCAGCTGAAAACTCACTTGTTCAGACTGGCTTTTGTGTGACCATCGTCACCACCCTTTCCTTGTTCTGCTCTTGTTTCGCCTTTCCTGGGATCCACTGATTTCCCTCTTCCCTATTCATTTTGTCTCTCCCTTTCCTTATGTCTTTTTTTCTCATTTTAAACACATTTTAATCTTTTTTTTCAAGCCTCATGATTTTTATCTTGAGAAGCGCTATAGAAAATTTTCTTTCTTTCTTTCTTTCTTTCTTTCTTTCTTTCTTTCTTTCTTTCTTTCTTTCTTTCTTTCTTTCTTTCTTTCTTTCTTTCTTTCTTTCTTTCTTTCTTTCTTTCTTTCTTTCTTTCTTTCTTTCTTTCTTTCTTTCTTTCTTTCTTTCTTTCTTTCTTTCTTTCTTTCTTTCTTTCTTTCTTTCTTTCTTTCTTTCTTTCTTTCTTTCTTTCTTTCTTTCTTTCTTTCTTTCTTTCTTTCTTTCTTTCTTTCTTTCTTTCTTTCTTTCTTTCTTTCTTTCTTTCTTTCTTTCTTTCACTTAACTCCTAACCCTACACATGCCAGTCTAGCAATAATTAGGTAAAAAATTACCCCCAAAAATAAACACAGAGTCAAAAAAGCAATCAAGTTTATATCTGAGAAATGGTTCAAGGTAGTTCAAATAGTTTTGGAACCATCATCATCATGATACGTTGGGTCCAGACCTTCAGAGACCAGTGGGAGGCATACCCTTAAAAACGTGGGGCTGTTTTGGCAACACAAGTGAGATATACTAAAAAGGTATTCAGTCTTTGTAAAAGTTCTCAACTTTAATTTCATGGTCTACTTATTCTTTGGTAGGTTAGCACAATCCCTGTTGAGGACAGTAGTGTTCAAATATTGATGAAATTCACTGGTTAACTTTTAAATCCCACAACTTGTGATGAGAACTATATGTGCTTAATGTTTTGCAACTTGGGGATTAGAGGTGCAATTTGACTATCTTCTTTCTTCTCAGATTTTGAAAGGGTTTAGTACTTTTATCCTTCATAGATATGTCTTTGTTAGCAGTTAAAACTTATCGTGTAGTTAGATGTGTTTTAACAATACATTGTAATAGAGACTTTGGTTTAAACTGTTTGGTTTCTTCTCAGCTTGGACTGCCGTCATGTCAATTTTAATCATCCATGTTGTCAGAAGGAGAGCTGCCAGTTGTGTGTCAAAATTCTCTCCAGGGTCAAAAAAAAAAAAAAAAAAAAGAATAGGTACAAGTAAGCCTGCTTAACAGCAGAGGTGGAAAGAGTACTAAAATTTCCTACTTAATTACGAGTACCAATACTTTGATAATGTTTTACTCAATTACAAGTAAAAGTGCTTGCCTAAATTTTTACTCAAGTAAAAGTAAAAAGTATCGTAAACAAAATGTACTCAAAGTAAAAGTTACTTAGTTACATTTTTGTCAGCGTAAGGATGGCTACATCTAAGTAGTGCTAAATCACAACGCCAGTTCACAATTCGCTTGTGTGCGCATGCACACACACACACACACACACACACACACACACACACACACTCAAACACGCACGGCTTGAAGGAGGGATTTCTATCCAATCAGTGAGAACAGGACGTGCACATTGATTGGACGAGGTTTTTTTAGGATGGTAAGTTTCAATTGTGATTCAAATTATTCTTTATTTTGAGAAAAATCATTTTTTTAGATGCCATCAGCATGTGAGGTATCTCAATGTCCTCATGACAAAACTCTAACATGAGACTGCGCTCTAACCTGTCACATAACGAGCTAAATGAAAGTCAAACATTTCAGATGGACCGTATGACAGCTGCTAACGTTGGCCCTGCCCTACTTTACCTACTTTACAGTTCCTTTATTCGTGTCCATCCTAGAGCTCCTTTCTGACCTTCATGCTTATTTAGAGCAGCTGATTTTTAAAGTAAGCAGACAGAGTTCATCCTTGGTAGTGGGTTCACTCACTCATTTAACCCTTCACCACTGAAATCAGTTTGTTCATTCCGATCCTCCTAAATAAACCTCCAATCATCCATCTGGAATCCTTATAGGTCCCGTAACATCCATCCTATCAGAATAGGCCTTGGGAGCCCAGGTGTTTCTAGAACTAATGGTGTCTCCTCACCAGCGTGAGCCTCCAACCTGTGAAGGTTGGTCTCCAAACATGAACTTTAAATTCATGCATTTATCTCCGCTTGTAACACTTTAACATGTTTTAAAAGGCTTGTATCATGATATGTTACACCTCCCAGACCAAAGATAAGATAAAACATTATCATAAACACTGCAGAGACGTTATTATTTATGAAATATACGTTATTTTCCTGAGCCGTTACTTCAGCCAAGATATAAGATGTATGGATTTGATGAAACCATGCTGTCTCATACAGTCCTATATGTGTAACACACACACACACACACGCACGCCATGAATAATTTGACTACATTGAATTGCTTTAGTAATAATTTAATCTCATATTCTGGAGTAAAATAAAGAAACAAGCTAAATCATCACATATCTGTGGCATCAAGAAGCATCTTCTGAGTTCAGACACAGGGATGGAGCACAATGTTTACACCTGAACAGTATCAGGATGTTTTAACTCTCAGAGGCCTGCAGGTCTTCTGTTTTATGAGCAAAGCGCTGAGAATCCGCTTGTTATGAGCGCTAAACGTTATTTTTCCGCTTCCGTGCGGAGCGGTAGAGAAACACATTTCAAACACGGAACCGAGTCTCGCTACCGAACCGAGCAGAATTCTGATGACGTCACACTGGTGCGTGAAGGTGCGGGTTCCAACCCACAGGAGAGGAGGGAGAGAGGAGGTTAACAGCGAGTTGATCGACTGAACTGATGTCTTTGAGCTAAAGTGTACACCCCCACACACCCCCGGTTTAGACGCAGCGCTCATGCAGGGGTCTCTTTCCGTTCCGACGCTGCTTCACATAATATTTTTAATTTATTAAGCCTATAAGTTATTTTTTACTCAGTAACGGATATGATTTAAAATGTAGCGAATTACAATTCTTTTAAAAAAAACTTACTCAAGTAAAAGTAAAAGTACAGCTTTTAAAAACGACTTAAAAAGTATAAATATACAAAAAAGCTACTCAATTACAGTAACATGAGTAAATGTAATTTGTTACTTTCCACCTCTGCTTAACAGGCATGTTCCGGTTGAGTGTAGTGGTGTTGGGTGGGGGAGGTGGGTGGGGGGTGTCTGCATTTTGGCTGATGTTCGACCCATTGCATCAGGTCTTTAAACAAGTCATATCAAATCTTCATGAATAATAATCATTGCTTTTTTTGTTTTGTTACCTGTTTTGTGTTGAAGGACTGGGCCAAGGAGGAATACAGTGGTGGCTGCCCTGTCAATGTCATGGCACCAGGTTTCCTAACGTATTACCATCCCAGCCTGAGAAAGCCATGTGGCAGGTAATTACCCCCGCTGATGACAAAAACACATCACATCTCCTCTCCTTCCTCCTCACCGTGTAAATGATAGTCTTGTTAACGTTTGCTAACTCTTCCAAATTAACCTTTTAAAAACTAAATTTAGGACTTTTTTATTTAATGGGTACTTTTCTAGACAACAGGCTGAGATAGTCACTATTTACTGGATGTGAATTCTATTTTTATATAGCAGAAACACCTATTTTACCTCTCCCTGCCACTGAGGTATTGCTCACTTCCACCCATTGCCTACAAATCACTGGAGAAACCATGGAAGTGCCTCTCCTATATATGTATATATTAGTCCAGTTCCATAGAAATGACAAGAGGTCATCAGGAGGTGCATTCTCTTAAGAAAATGTCCCACGATCCATGTCTAATAGCCTGCACAAAGATGCACAAGGATTCAGGAATTGAATTTCCATAATGACATCGAGTCTGCAGGGAGCCGAGGAAGCTCATTACATAACGTGACTCAAACTACGGCTAGGGAATGCCGGCCCTTCCTCTTTCCATTCCTTCCTCATATAGGTAATGGATTCCCAAGGGCATGCTGTGACCTTGACACACATTGAAATAGAGACAACGAAAAAGGCTGTTGCAGGCGCTCTGAACATTTTCTTTTTAATTACACAAACATGACAGTGTTAGCCTTTAGAGTTGAGATCACACTTGGTTTTTTATTTATTTTTTTGCATCTCGTTGCTGACTACACAGCTGTTTTTGTCTCAACAGTGGGCCATTTGCCAGAAAGGTTGACATGTGAGATGTTTACAGAGTTTTCCAAGTTTGTCATTCTTACTGGCCTTTAGTTTTGAGCCACACAAAACTTTGTTTTATTTATTTATTTTTGCAAAGTTTCATTTGTTTGGCAAGTGATCATCATATTCACTCGACAAAAGTGGAATGACTTGTTATTAAATTTAACCTTCACATGTATTTTCAGTCTGTGAGTTCATTGTTAAATAGAACTAGGCCAAGTCAGGATTAGCAGAACGTCTGCTCATCCATAAATCTGCCAAGAATGTCAAACATAAAAACTAGATATTGTTTGTGTCATTGGCTGTGTCTGCCTTTTATAGAAATGTGGTTGCTGGGTGGGCCAAAACTGAAAAGTTCCAGTTTGTACTCAGCTAGGACAGTAGCCATAAAGAATAATAATAATAATACATTTTATTTAAAAGCGCCTTTCAGAACACCCAAGGTCACTTGACAGAAAATACTTAATAAAAAAACAATAAAACAACAATAAAACGCAACCAAGAAAAAACAAAGAGAAACAGTTCAGTAAAATCAGAGGTCGTAGGCAGATTTAAACATATGTGTTTTGAGTTTTGTTTTGAAAAGGGTAAAACTGTCGATGTTCCTGATGTCTGGGGGAAGTGAGTTCCAGAGTCGAGGAGCAGAGCGGCTGAAAGCTCTGCTCCCCATGGTAGCGAGACGGGCAGAAGGAACCGCAATATGGATGGAAGAAGAAGATGTGAGAGAATGGGATGTGGTGTTAATACTTATAAGGTCTGAGATATATGGAGGAGAGAGGTTATGGATTGCTTTGAAGGTATGGAGGAGCATTTTGAAAATGGACCTGAATTTAACTGGGAGCCAGTGAAGCTGTTGGAGAACCGGGGTGATATGGTGAAAGGAAGGGGTTCTGGTGATAATACGGGCTGCTGAATTCTGGATCAGTTGCAGTTTATGAAGGAGTTTGACCTCAGTATAAACCTCTAATTAACTTAACATTTTCATAACTGAAATGATTTGGGATTTAAGGGCAGCAGTAGCTTAGGAGGTTTAGTGGGGTGTCCAGTAATCGGAAGGTTGCAGGTTCAATCCCAGCTCCGGACAGAGAATGCTGCTATTGTGTCCTTGGATAAGACACTTAACCCACCTTGCCTGATGATGGTGGTCAGAGAGACCGGTGGTGCCTGTGCTCGGCAGCCTCGTTTCTGTCAGTGTGACCCAGGGCAGCTGTGGCTACATCCTCTGACTCTAAAAGGTGCTATACCAGTGCTGGTCAAAGTAAAAGTCCATATGTCAGTCAGTCACTTGAGGCCAGTTCAAATGGAGCCCTGGTGTGTTTTCCTCCTTGTTCTGATTTGCTTGTGCTTGTGTGAACCAGGTAATCCTATCAGAGTGCAGAACTAAGGAACCAAAGCTAGACCTGACGGAAGAGGTGGTTTTTGGTTGCAAATGAACTCCAGAGTGGTTCACTTATTCAAATGTGATCCAACGTCAATCTTCCACAAGTATGAGCAAAATACCCATCTGTAGTCAGGTTTGGGTTACATCTTGCGATGTAAATGAATGATAAATGACCCGCACTTGTATAGCGCCTCTCAAAGTAAGGACTCCAAAGCGCTTTACACTACAGTGTATCATTCATCCATTCACACACACATTCATACACTGATGGTGATGAGCTACGGTGTAGCCACAGTTGCCCTGGGGTGCACTGACAGAGGCGAGGAGGGCACACAAATGTCAGTAGCTAGCTGAAAATGAACCAACGGCTCGTTTGGATGACAACAACAAGATTAGTTAGGTTGTTCACATTTGTGCCGGATGACTAGGTTCATCGGTTTTGACACAAAAAAAAACACACACACAAATGTTTTTAAATAGTTCATAAGCAGCTCAGGGAGAAGGAAGTTAGACCATGTTGTCAACTAACCCAGGATCAGAACACGCAATCATTCTGTATTTATTTCTGGTAGCCCCACCCTCAGACGATCTGACCAATTAGCAGACTGAATGCTCTCACTTGTTTAATGTGACACATAAGACTCTTTTATAAAGAAAACACTGCCAATTTGTAAGTAAGTATATTTTATTTTATAGCACTTATCACAGCCATAAAATCACAAAGTGCTTCAAATAAATCAAAACAAAATAAATCATAATGATCTCAAAACAAAAAGAGATTAATATCAGAGAAAATAAAGTCATAAAATTATAACATTTCACAAAACTAATGAAAAATTATTACAAATTTGAGTTAAAAATTAGAAAATAAAAGATTTAGGTAAAGGCAGCTTTAAATAAAAGGGTATTTAGCTGTTTTTTAAAAGTGTCCAGACTGTCAATACTATGTAAGGGTAAAGGAAGATCATTCCAAAGTCAGGGTACAAAAGTCTGGAAGGAGCGATCACCTCAACTTTTATATCGGGTCCTTGGAACTTCTAGAAGGTTCTGGTGTGTGGACCTGAGGGCTCGGGTTGGAGCATAGGAGCTTGACCATGTAGAGCCCTGAAAGATATAGTCAGTATTCTAAAATGAATTCAAAAGTTGATGTGTAACCAGTGCAGAGACATTAGAATAGGAGTGATGTGTGCTCTTCTGTTTCCTCCAGTTAGGAGCCTTGCTGCAGAGTTCTGGACCAACTGAAGGCGGTCCAGGGCTTTTACGTTAAAACACATGAAACGTGTGTTACAGTAATCTAGACGGGAGGAGATAAAGGCATGGATTACCATTTCAACTTCATGCTTTGACACCAAACTTCGCAGTTTGGAGATATTTCTTAAGTGATAAAAACAGTTTCGGACCAATGATTTTTGAGTGGCCTTCTAGAGACATTGATTGGTCTTTTGCCGCAAAACTGAAGCAGCATCAGGGAGCCTCAATTCATTTATAAGTGGTCAGACTGTAGCGGTAATGTGGTGCAATTGTGTCCTTTTTACAAAAAATTACACATTGGTGGTATAAAGGGGGTTTGGGGTGGTCTTTGTGCTGCCACAGACTTCCCTTTAACTTCAACATAACTTGTTTTTATTTCTATTGAAGCCGCGCTCAGTAACTGCCATTGACGACAAATGCCATCATTTGTATTTTGTTACTTGTGTGGGCATTGGATTGAGCCCCGCACCGTGAGAACAAACCTCCCACCTCTAAAAGTGATCTTCATCTGCGTACGTCACACATCACATGATCAGGGAGCAGAAAGTCCATGTGTTAGGAGAGCGTTTTTGGCAACTAATGGTAAAAAAAAAAGTGAGGCGCGAATCGGAAAAGCTTCTGCAGATCACAATTCGATCTTATGAAAGAACGGATAACGCTCGAAACACGTGGATTCTTCTTGATTTAAGAAGTGAGTCTACTCTTTGATTTGATAGTTTGGGCGTAAGCGCAACATTCTGTGACTTCAAAAAATAGTGAAAACGCTGAAAAATGCTGGCAGTGAAAGGCTTTTCTGACTGGCAGTTAATGGGTTAAATTTTCTTGACAAGCCACTCCTGAAGATGTCTGTCCTCCACAGTCCCTGTGAACAGTCTGGTGATCTGACCTCCAGCTCTAACGGAGAGACGCTCCTGGGCATCTGCATCACTACAGCTTATCATCTCAGCTTATTCTGTTAACAAAAGCGGGACTTACCTCTGTGTTTACTTACATTTTCTATTAAGTGCAACGTGTTCCTTCAGTGTCAGTGATGCACGGTGGTTGGGTAGCGTTCCTTCGATGTCCGTCACAGCGGTGGGTGGGGGTTGAGCGGGTGTGCTTTACCTAATTCCGGGTAAGCTTGTTACCGGAAGACAAGATGAACGGCTCTCTACAGGGACTCGGCTCTCATTGTTCACTTTGAAAACCCGTTTGAAAGATTCAATTTGTTCGTGAACAAGACAATGTGACCCCCTGAAGCCACCCCTCATGGTCAACTGTCAAAAGGCCTAGAATCCTTCGAGACATTAGTTTTTATCCTTAGCTTGGCCCTCCCCATTTAGTTACATGGTACATTTCTGTTGGATCGGTCCATGGAAATGTGTCAAGATCTGTGTGCGTCATGAATCTTATACTAAATGAACAAGATGTGAAAATCATGGGTGTTGCTGCATCTAGTTTTAGTGTGTAAAGAACAGACACTCCAGCATACTTTCTGTACCGGACAGATAATCAATGGCGACATTATTTTTTTAATTCTTTATTTAACCAGGAAGTTCCTATTGAGATTAAAAACATAATTTTCAAGGGAATCCTGGCCAAGAGGCAGC